AACAACACAACTCCTAGAGATATCCTTATAAACTCCCCTAAACAGCAACTCTCGGAGATAGATATCCTATAAACTCCCCTAAACAACAAACTTCTGGAGATATCCAATATTCACGGCCAGGTATCCAAACAACCCCTAAACAACACAACATAGATATCCTATAAACTCCCCTAGCCAGGTATCCAAGCAACCCCTAACCCCTAAACAATACAACAAAGATATCCTATAAACTCCTCTAAACAACAAACTCCTAGAGATATCCGATATTCACGGCCAGGTATCCAAACAACCCCTAACCCCTAAACAATACAACATAGATATCCATAGATATCCTACAAACTACTGGAGATATCCTATATTCACAGACCCTTAAACAACACAACATAGATATCATACAAACTCTTGAAGATATCCTATATCACGGCCAGGTATCCAAACAACCCCTAACCCCTAAACAACACAACAGGTATCGAAACAACCCCTAACCCCTAAACAACACAACATATAGCCTATATTCATGGGTATCGAAATAACCCTTAAACAACACAACAGATATCCTATATTCATGGGTATCCAAACAACCCCCAACCCCAGTAATATATTATATATTTGGTTATCTTATATTCACGGGTGTCCAAACAACCCCTAACCCTAGTAATATTTTATATATAAGATAATATTATATATTCGGTTATCCTAACAACCACTAACCCTAGTAATATATTATATGTAAGATAATATTATATATTGGGTTATCCTATATTCATAGGGTATCCAAACAAACAACCCCAGTAATATAAACAACAGAACAGATATCCTATATCTTGTATTCCAGTAATATAAACAACACAACACAATAGATATCTTATATTCCATACAACAGATATCCTATATCCTATATTCCAGTAATATAAACAACACAACACAATAGATATCCTATATTCCAGCGGCACGCCAATAATATAATTATATAGATAAACAACACAACAGATATCCTATATCCTATATTCCACAACACAACAGATATCCTATATTCCAACTGCATACCAGTAATATAATTATATAAATAAACAACACACCTATATCCTATATTCCAACGGCACGCCAGTAGTATAATTATATAGATAAACAACACAACAGATATCCTATATCCTCTATTCAGGCTAGTAATATAATTATATAGATAAACAACACAACAGATATCCTATATCCTATATTCCAGCGGCACGCCAGTAATATAATTATATAGATATCCTATATTCCATTCCAGCGGCACGCCAGTAATATAATTATATAGATATCCTATATTCCATTCCAGCAGCACGCCAGTAATATAATTATATAGATATCCTATATTCCAGCAACACAACACAATAGATATCCTATATTCCAGCGGCACGCCAGTAATAGAATTATATAGATAAACAATGCAACAGATATCCTATATCCTATATTCCACAACATATTCCACAACACAACAGATATCCTATACCAACGGCACCCCAGTAATATAATTATATAGATAAACAACACACTTATATCCTATATTCCAGCGGTACGCCAGTAATATAATTATATAGATAAACAACACAACATATATCCTATATCCTATATTCAAGCCAGTAATATAATTATATAGATAAACAACACAACAAATATCCTATATCCTATATTCAGGCCAATAATATAATTATATAAATAAACAACACAATAGATATCTTATATCCTATATTCCAGCGGCACGTCTGTCATATAATTATATAGATATCTTATATTCCATTCCAGCGGTACGCCAGTAATATAATGATATAGATATCCTATATTCCATTATTCCAGCGGCATGCCAATCGTATAATTATATAGATATCCTATATTCCATTCCAGCGGCACACCAATAATATAATTATATAGATATCCTATATTCCGTGCCAGCGACACGTCAGTAATATAATTATATAGATAACCTATATTCCATTCCAACGGCACGCCAATAATATAATTATATAAATATCTTATATTCCATTCCAGCGACACGTCAGTAATATAATTATATAGATATCTTATATACCAACGGCACGCCAGTAATTATTAATATAATTATATAGATATCCTATATACGAACCGCACGTTAGTAATAATATAATTATATAGATATCCTATATACCAGCCGCACGCTAGTAATATAATTACATATTCTACAGCCTCACACTAGTAATAATAGAATTATATAGATATCCTATATACCAGCCGCACCCTAGTAATATAATTACATATTCTACAGCTTCACGCTAGTAATAATATAATTATATAGATATCCTATATACCAGCCGCACCCTAGTAATATAATTACGTATTCGATTATGGTTATGGCACGCCAATAATATAATATTATATATTCAGTTATGGCACGTCGGTAATAACGGTGCTAAACGATCATAAAAATTTCGGATTGAAGGGCATTTTGAAGCTTCTTGAAAAAGCGATACTACCATTGTCGCCTAGCTCCACTTGAGAACATTAATAAGGAAGATTTTATACATATAAAACTTCTCCTAATTGTTCGATGTGGGACAACTAATGGAGCTGGCAGCGTTGGCCTTTTGCCCTCTCTCTCTCGTATATAATAAATGGCATAACTAATGGAGGCTATAAATGACATTAGCTTATCACTAGCGTTGAAAGCTAGGTTTAAAAGGCTGGAACCTAGCTCGTTGACAAAAAATAAATAGCATAATTATATTAATTTTTTTATAACATGACGGCCTTAAAATATTAATTCAAGAGGAAGAAAATTATTAAAAATAATAATTGATTAGTAAGGTCCTCCATTCCTTATCATTCTCCAAAAAATTTGCTCCAAAAAAAAAAAAAAAAAGACTAGAATTAAACTATTAGCTAATTGGGATTAAAAAAATTAGTACTAGCTCATAGATTAATACTAATAATAATAATAATAATACTGGTTTATTGAACATTAAAAAAAAAAATACTAATTTATAGAATATTTTAAAAGAAAAAAACAACTCTAGCTCATACCATTTTAGAATTTATTTCAAGTTACTTTATCAATTATCCCATATTGCAAAGATGAATTTATTTATTTATTTTTTTAATTTTATTAAAATACGATTGCAAATTTATGTTACTAAATTCTGTATGTCTATCAACATTAATTGTAATCAAATATTATGTTTTATTTATTAATTTATTTACATTATAAATTATGCAATGTATTATTTTTTATTATAGTTGTAAATTAGATGATATTATAAGACAGATTTCAAATTTATTCTTATTTGTATAGTAAAATGATAATAAAATAACAAAATACAAACCAATAATTATAATATCAATGTATAATACTGTATTTAGCTATGTTTTAATAAATGTTTGATGAAAATCTTCATACAAAAAAATAACATCTCAATATTTGTATATTGATGTAAAAAAAAAACAAAAATTAATTAAAATAGTACCTTCATTTTTTATTAGATTCCTAAAAAACAATATTTATAATGATATTTTATAATTTTTTGGAATTTTTTTTTAAGGCTGAATTTTGTCGATTCGACCAATTCCCGATCCGAAATGCCGATTCACCAATCTGGATGGGTTTTCAAGATGCCTGATCCGGACCACCAATCCGTTTTTTAAACCACTGGTCGGACCTACCATCCACCATCCAATCTTATCAACAGTCATCACTATATCACAATTAAGCTTCTTCCCGAAACTGCAGCTGATCTCCACTAAATTTAAAGGGTACAGAAGATGGATGATCAGTCAGAGCAGCTTTAAAACCTATCTTTTAGTTCCTGTTAGGAGTACAATATCTGCTCCCTATGATAACTAGCTGTCAAATTTTCTGCTTCCATTTCATCGTCAAATGGATTAGGGCTCAGAAGTTGTCTACTAGTTTCCAAAAACAAGCTCTATATAAGGGGAGGTTTCCCCATTCGAGGGATATTGCACTTGCTTCAAACTTACTAAAAACACCATTGAGTTAGGAAACAAAGCGCGCCTAGTTTCTCAAGAACTTCATGAACATCAATAGTTTAATTGAAAACAAAATGGATAGCATTGTTTTGGACCATTTTGCATGCAAACCTATGCTAAAATACCGAAATTCCATCAGGCGGTTAGAACTAGCCTACACGTGCAGGTACACACACAGATAGAGAGAGAGAGAGAGAGAGAGAGAGAGAGAGAGAGATATTTGATGGATATCTCACTTCCAATACTTGGTATTCTACCCCAAAGTGCATTCCCATGCAACTCAACAGCCTTATAATCCCAAGTATAGGAAGAAAAGCAAGTCACAGAAGTTCATGTTTAGGTACCGCATGCTGATAAAAACTCTACTGGACTTGGTTTTATACATTAATGCCAAGGGTTTCTAGAGATTAGGATGTGCAAGGTGGGGACTGGAAGTTGTGATGCCTTCGGAAAATTAAAAGGTTCACAAATGTTATTCCTTTGCAGTATCTGCAGGCGATTGAACACATAGACTTGTGGTGAAATAACTCTCAGCAATTGAAAGTTACAATTCCTCAACTTTTCATGATGCGAGAAAACCCAAGAGGAAAAATTTTCCATATCTTAGGCAACAGTAATGTTGGAGAATATGCATGAGCAGCCTCCTTAAAATGTACAAGGAGAATTCATCATCCTGGGCTACAACCTTACAACCTCATTTTGATGTACAATACATCCACAATCTACTGATTGCCATAACCCGTACAACATTCTTTTATAAGTTTTGGTGCTAAAGCACATAATGTAAGGGACTTTGTTAGGTAATATTGCCATACCTTCAGCTTCAAGAGAACTTCCGTCTCATGTGACTAGCAGCTCAACCAACATCATGAGTAATCCCATACACAAACTTGTCAGGATATCAAATATGCCATCCTCGACAAAAGATGGTCATGGTAATCATTAACTTGTGAATTTAGACAAATGCAGTTCAATAGAATGTTAGCAATACGTGAAACACATTTATCTTGTATCAACCAATAAGATAATTTCAAGAGCCATTTTTCAAGGAACTGAAGCAAACATTTGCACATATTTTGACATCATCCAAGTATCTGCTGTGGCTGATAGGAACTTAACTCATGCACATACCTCACACAGTACAATTAACATATAGAGTTGGTAAAGTGTATTAGACTGAAATTATGTCCTACAGACAGTCAATGGGACATAATTATCACTAAAAAGAATTCATAAAATTCTCATTTTCTTAACAGTTTTTCTAGGAAAAATTAATCAGGCCTTTAATGAATAAAACAAAATTTCAAATGATTTATCAGCCGTAAAATCCAAAGATGTTCAAACTGCATATATGCACACTAGCCTTCTGAGACTGCAGGAGTTCCACTTCAGTTATCAGTCTGATCATCTTCCTTTTGGTTTAAATCCCCAAACTTCGCCTTGAATGAATCCTGCTTCTGCAACCACGCCATATGTGCCTGCACTAATAATTAAGAAGAGTTACTGGTCTCTCATTCCATTACTGGTATATACAAAGTCCATTTAAAAGCTACAATCCATTTAATCTAGACGATGCTAAAAGCCAAATAAGTGAATGTAGAGCCAGGTACTGGATCCAACAAAATACAGCAACTCAAGTATGAAATATAGGGCGCTGACATTGTGAACTTGAAACGTTCAACTTAAAGATGCATGTTCTGTGCACAGCAAGCAAGACAGCAGGATTGAGAAAGAAAGCGAGATCATAAATTCTGGCCATTGAATTTACACCTTGAGATGATATATTTATCCGTTCGTATCATTGGAGTGAAAGTGTCAAACTATCTCTAAAAACAAAAAAGAACCAATGGAAACCAAATACTAACAATCACATCACTGGGCAAAAATAAACACTGGCTTAAATCCTAACAACGTGAAAATTCAGAGTATTCATCATTTCTACAATCTTAGAATCAACTTTCCATTTTAGATCATTCATTTAACAGTCTCAAAATACAGGTAGGATAACCTAATGACCCATTTCCTCGTGTTATCGAACTTCAAAAGAAGATAAGTATTTCTGCTTCTCCATTTGTTTCTTTATAATTTACAGATAGTACTCATCACCATAATATTTTTCTTTTAGAATAAAACACAATACCTTATTCAATTCTCTTTTATAACAGAAATTTCTAAATATTTATAAACGAAAAATTACCAAAACTTCTAAATGATTCTCAAGGGAAGTGACATTGATACATTAGCTAGTTGATTTCCAAGTTGTTCATGCTAGTCCCAAGCCCGGAGAAAGGAGGGTTGTATTAGGTTGGCATCCAATGTAGAACTTTTTCCACATCCATTTCATGAACCTTGATCTTGTGCTGTATGCTCATGCTAGGGCGTTCCCTATAAGCAACGCGTCGTACTAGTACACGGGTGAAAAAAGAAATCAGCAGGGGTTAGAAAGGGCGTCTCCTAAAAAGGACACACCACAAAAACTCCAGGTTGCAATGATAAGTAGGTAACGGTTCCTATGCCATTTTTGACGAGTGCGAATAAAGAAGCTAGTCCAAGAGAATAAGATTCATCTAGCCCCATGGAATATAGGAACACTAACAGGTAAGAGTGTGGAGTTAATGGGTACAATGAGATGAATGATAATTAACCTAGTTTGCATTTTGGAAACTAAGTGGAAAAGGATTAAAAGCTAAGAAAATTGATGGATATATACTTTGTGTATAGGAAAGGATAATAATAGAAATGGCACAATTATAATAGTAGATGAAGATTTAAAAGATAAAATAATTGATGTTCACAGAGTAGGTGATAGGCTCCTATTAATTAATTTGTGTAAGGGAGGAGATAATGTAATTAGTGCTTGTGCGTCATAGGTAGGACTAGAGGATACAATTAAAAAAAATTCTAGGAGGACATGGATTGACTAGTCCAATGAATACGAATAGAGAGAGGACTTTTTTAGGAGGAGACTTAAATGGTCATATAGGAAAATATAGTAGAGGATATGAAAGAAGACATGGAGGATATGAATATGGGGAAAGAAATGAGATGGGTAATGCTAGTCTTGATTTTGCTATCGCTTACGACCTTGCAATAGAAAACATCTAGTGACATTAACGTTTAATAACTTATAAAAGTGGATCATATAAAAGCTAGATAGACTTCTTTCTAGTTAAGAAGGCAGATCGACCATCATGTAAAGACTGAAGCTTATCTCATGAGAGAATTTGACCATGCAACATAGGCTCATGGTTGTAGATGTTTGCATAAAGAGATGGAAGATGAGTAAGATTAATAGGTGTCCAAGAACTAGGTGATAGAATTTAAAATGCAAATATTTATACATAAATTGATAAAAGAAGAAAAAGAGAATTCTAATGACAAAGTTAATGTGATGTGGAATGAGTGGCTGATTATATTAAGAAAGTGGCAAAAGATGTTTAAGGAGAATCTAGAGGGAAAATACATTCATAAAGGAAAAGTAGTGTTAAAGTGATGAGGTTCGAAAGGAAATTGGCAAAAAATGATATATTACTGAATTTGGCAATGGAATAGAAATTAACAAAACTTAGAAGAATATAAAAATGCCAAGAATGCTAAGAAAATAGTAAATAGCGCTAGGCTTATTGGGGATAAGAGAAGGTGAAAAAAGTATCTTCAAACTAGTAAAAAAGAGAGAGAAGAAGTATAGGGATCTAGATCATGTTAAATGCATTAAGAGGATCAAAAGGTATTAGTAAATGATGACAAGGTTAGTGAAAGGTGGAGAATTTGTTTTAAAAATTTATTAAACAACAAGCACTATGAGAGCAGCGAGGAGGAACCTTTGAAATCAATGATGTTGGAGATCATAGATATAATCCTAGGATTACGACATCTGAAGTGAAATAAGCTTTTTGACAAAAGATGAAGATTGGAAGGCTTTAAGACTAGATGGTATCCCAATAGAGGTTTGAAAATGCATGGGAGAGATTGGCATATCCTAATTAACCCAGTTGTTCAACAAGATTTTGAGAACTGAGAAAATGCCAGATGAATAGAGAAAAAATAATGCTGTTCCTCCTTCCAAGAACAAAGGAGACATACATAATTGTACGAACTAATGAGGATCGAACTTATGAGCCAAACTATGAAGCTGTGGGAGATTGATTGAGCAAAGACTACGACATGAAACAAGTGTATAAAAAATTCCATTCGGTTTTATGCCAGAGAGGTCAACACTTGAGGTTATTTTCCTATTTAGGCATTTGATTGAAGGTTTAGGGAGAAGAAAAAAGACATTCACATGGGTGTTGAAAAAGAAAGAAGTCTCTAGAGGATATATTGACATGGTTACAGCTATGTAAGAGAGAGTGCTAACTAGCGTGAAGACAATTAGTGGAGAGACAAGAGAGTTTTCAATGACAATAAGCCTACATCATGAGTCAGCGTTGAGCCCATATCTCTTTGTTTTGGTTATAGATGAGTTAACTAGGCATCTATAGGATGAGGTACCAAAGTGTATGTTGTTTGTAGATGACATAACTTTGATAATGAGACTAGAGACGACATCAACGTAAAGTTAGAATAAAAAAAGAATTTTAAATTAGCGGATAAAGACAAAATATATGGAATGCAAGTTCAATAATAATAGAAGTAGAAACGAGGAATTAGTTAAGATTGATGGCCAAAAAGTAACTAAAAGAGATTATTTTTACTATCTTAAGTCGATAGTCCATGAGAATGGAGAGGTTGAGGACGATGTCGCAAATAGAATTAAAGCTGGGTGGATATAGTGGAGATGTGCTTTTGGAGTCTTATGTGATCGTCACATACCAACAAAACTGAAGGAGAAGTTCTATAGGACGACTGTAAGACCAACCATGTTCTATGAGACAAAATATTGGGCGGAAACAACATATTCATAGAATGATTTAGTTGAGATGGATGAGTGGCAAGATAAGAAAGGATAAAATTCAGAATGAGGACATCCAAGGGAACTTAAGGGTGGTTCCAATAGGTAATAAGATGAGAGAAACTAGATCTAGGTGGTTTGGCCATGGGCAATATCGACCTAGAACAACCCCGGCTAAGAGGGCAATTTACTTCGACTGGAACCCTCTAAAAGGGTAAGGTGACGAAACAAAAGGACATGGATAGAAGTAGTGAGAAGAGATATAATGACTTATGTTCTGATTAAGGGTATGGCCCTTGATAGAGCGGAATGGCATAATAGGATTTATTTAGTCGACTCGAAATAGTTGAGATAAGGCTCAGAGCATGATGATGATCTATGAGATACAAAGTTCCAGCTCGTGTGCGGCAAATACGTAATCTATAATCTTCGCTCGAATCCACTCCCTTAGAACTATAGCATCCACCCTTAAAATTGACAACTATGCCACCTCAAATTAAACCAAATGCTAGTTGTGGTACAAAGTCTCCATAACAAGCATGCCCTCTCTAGAAGAATAAACAAGGATATCATTCACTCCACAGATGCAAGAGTCCTCCATAACAACACAAACGTTTCACGCATAACAAACCATACCTCCCATGCATCTCGATGATGAATAAGAAGATCGTTAACTGACTCTGCTTCCTCCTTGCACATATTAGGTTCCTTAATGTATATATTAGGTTCTTGCATGCCCCTTGATTGAAGTTGGTCAATAATATGTATGCCATCTTGGCAAAGTGGCCAGTGAAACACCAAAACACTCATTGTGGTTGGCTAACCAAACCATCGCAAAGAGATGTTTATTCCCATCCCTCTAACAAGCATAGATGAAACCCAAAAAAAAGCCCTGTATACACCTAAGACCATATACTCCTACCAACCATCAACATAGATGTACATATATCTCCTTCAATATTGTGATGAAATTTATTAACTCGTCCCTTTCCTTAACAGTTAATTGCCCCACTCCCACTCACCCAAATAATCAGCAACACAAGCTTCAGAGTTCATTGCCACCCTGGACCCTAATCCTCTATCACTGCATCAACAAGGGTGTCCAAACCTAATCCAAGCTCCATCTCCCACCTCATATCTGATAATGAAGAAAAAATCCTCATCCACCCCTCTAATGGCTTTTCAAACAGCCGACATCCTAGCTAGGATATGAGCCTGGACTGAGCTAGGCTAGCCTTGGCCCTAACCCGCTGCTAGTCCCTACATGGCCAACACAAGCCTAGCCCGGCGTCGACAGGGCCGAAGAGGCTCAACCAGGCCAAATACAATAATAAGAAAAAATAAGGGGTGAATCAGACCTACCCTATTGTAGACCTGGCCTAGGCCCCGCCCGGTCCTTTCCTTGGGCCAGCCCCTAGGCTACATTTTTTGGCCCAAGCCCTTGTATTTTAGGGTCAAGGCAACTTGGCCGCGCCATTTGGCCTATTGCGAGCTCTAGTGTTATAGCTGCGCAACCCAATTCCAAGGTCCCATATCTCCTCCGGACATCCTTTCAAAGACCCTCAGTATCATTTTCAATCTCCATAAACACTTATCCTACAATTTGTTAGTCACCAATCTGAGTTTCCTGATGCCCAATCTCCTTGGAGCCTAGGCCAATATACGTCCCTCTAACAAGATGAAATACATGTCCTTCAGTACTTTCTCTCCACAGACATTCTTTTCGCAACTTCTCTAGCTTACAGCTGGACATACGGATCTTTCAAAGAGAGACATAACATAAATAGGGAAATAATAGTGCCTTGACCAAATTAATTCCCCCTCCGAATATGATTAGCTTGCTGTTGCAAGAGACAACTCTACCCTTTGTCCTTTCTATGACTCAATCCCACATTCTCAGATAGGACCCCATAAGTGAAGTAGCATGGAAACCAATCTACTGGCCAGAAAGCAATGCTCCTTCAGTCTATTATCAACATCAACCATGTAAATGTATTGCGCTTATTCCTTAGGCCCAAGATCGCTTTATAGCACCTCAAAATGAACCACATATTAGCCACCTAATCCCTATCAGCATCATAAAACAATAAATTGTTATAGGCATATTGGTGGTGAGAGATGAAGGAACCTCCGTAACAATGCCTGTCGATACCATTAGAGATGAGGAAGTTATTATCATCTCAAACAACCATGTGCTAGTGATACCATTTTCCAAACACCTTCCCTGTGATATAGTGCAGGAAGGTCCAATCCATGTGCTCATGCCTTCTCTGTATCCACCTTGTACACAATGCCCAACTTGCCATCTCAATGCCTCAACTGGAAACAGCCATGTGCTAGGAGAGGAGCATCAATACCTCCCTTGTAGAAAGGCCTTCCAAGGCGAGGTAATAACATAGTCCAGTGCCCCTGGCAGTTTGTTAGCTAGTAACATAGCTAAAAACTTGTAAATGCACCCCACTAAACTTATAGGTAAACTGTCTTTTAGGAACAACACAAATGAATGTAGCATTCAAACCTTATGTATGATTTCCCTCTCATAGAACTCCTGAAACATAGCCACGACATCATTCCTGAGGAACTCTCGAAATTCCAGAAGGAAGACAAACGTGAACCCATGAGGCCTCGAGGTCTCGTCCAGAACCAAAGCAAACACCAAATTACAAACCACTATCTCTACAAAGGGGATTCTACAAACTCAAAGCAATAAGGTCTAGAATAGAGTCTAGGTGAAGCCCATCAACAATATAGAGTCCCTGGAAGGAACCCATTATAGTTATCACTACTTTCCCTAGGTCCTCAAATGCCTCCTCTTGAGCCTTCCAGACTTTGGCAGGGACTCCATAATACACCAAGTAGGTAGTAGGCCAATAACACTCAATGCCACCAGGATCCTAGTTAGGAATCAAGGATAAAAAAAGATGGCATTCACCAAGTAACCAATCTGTAAATGAAAGTGAAAATTTACAGCCTCCAAAATCATCTCCCATCAAGTCCCAAAACTATCGAAAACCATAAAATCGACCTCTTCCAACTAAATTGCCACTTGCAAAGAATATTACCCCCATTCACAATTTCTTAAACTCAAGCAACCCATTACACGGGACACCCCCACCATGACAATAGAAAATCTCTTGGAAAAATCAATAATTCGCTCATTCATATCCAATGAACAGGAATCCTCCACACCTATCATGGCCACATCAATTATTTCTGCCTTGATTTCCATGTCAAACAAATATGGTAAGAGCCAGAATTTGGAACCAGATTATTAAGACTAAAGAAGGAAGTGAGGAGACAAAACTACATATGCACAGAAAATATGAAATAGCATTCTTACTAAAGAACCCCTTATTCACAATTTGGGCCTAATCAACTGAATAAAATAAAAAAATTCACGTATGCTTCATGGAACATATATGGGCTGAAACATGAACTTGCTCACAAAAAAATACAAAGAGAAGTTCTACCGAAAGTGAATCTACAAAGTCATTTCCCAATTCAATATTCACATGTCAAGCGCCAGAAACCTTGTTCGACTAATGAAGCTAGAAACCAGATTTTTGCAAACTCATATGACTAGGCTCCACCAAGCAAGATCTCATATTCCCAAGATTCATGCAACTACAGTTTATCGCCACAAAGACATCTGTTTTAATCGTGTACTTAAATAGGCTAAAAATCAGAAAACCCAATTCCTATTTTGGCATGACTTACACCGTGCTCACAACGAATGAGCTAGAGAGAGAGAGAGAGAGAGAGTGAGACCTGGAGCGCAGCTGCCCAGGCTACGAGGAAGGAGGCGAACCAGAACTTTTTATCCTTTAGAAATGTGGGAGTATTCATCTTTGAAGCACCCCAACTCTCTCCAACGACACACGTGCACCTTCATGCCCTCAAACAATTGGAAGGCGAGCAGGCCTCCATTCACGTTTTTAATCTTGTCTTGCAGCTCTATGAAATTTTGTCACGTGCGACTTCCCTGTAAATTTTTTTAACTTTTCGGGCGATTTACGCCAGGGCACGTTTGGTTCGGGCGTAAATGTTTTTATGTAAATATTTTCACGTGAAAATTGTGTTTTAGAAGTTTGTTTGATGTATAAAAGCATATGTAAATAAATATCATAGTAAATGTTTTATCATAATAAAATAATAAAAACAAAATTTTATATAAAAAAATATTTTCAATATTTTTATTTTTACACGTAAATCCACTGTTCACTATTTACCATCCCTAAGATTATATCTTACCTCCTAAAAAATCCAAGCCTTCTTGCCGTACATTAGTCACATTTATATGCTATATTTGGTAAAAATAGTTGATTCGGACCTGAGAGCTGGCACAATCTACAATGATTTATGCTCCAAAACCAGATCAATGACTTTAAATCTGGATCGGTTATTTTTGAGATAAGGGTAAAGATTTGCTGCTCCACAGTAGCATACTATGCATTTGATAAAACTCATTTTAGCAGTATTTTTTGGTCCCTAAATTTAGGGCATGTAGCCTCTAGAACCTAATAACCAACCTCAAGGAAAACAAAACTTAAATAGAACTCTATATATGCCTAACAAAAATTTAACATCTCAAGATTGAACAAGCACCATCTAAGTTTTGGAGAGTAAGATCTAGGTGTCCAAAAACTGTAAAATCCATTTTTTTCTTAAAAATCATCATATGATGATTACTCAGATGGTTCCCAAAATTTTGAATAAACTTTTTTTCCAAGGAGCTCTTTTTCCCATGGGAATTGTTCTACAATATGCTCCCACGAGCGCATCCTGTACTCGGACTCTAGACAATGCATTTAAAAAAGCTGCCAATAAAATATTTTTATACTTCTTGTTCCTTATTTTAACAAAATTTTAAAATCATGGTCCCAGCTCTCTCTTTCCTCTTCCGTTTAGGCTATAATACATCTTAATTTCCTAACACCTCCATTTGGATCCTACAAAAAATTTCATGTGAAATACATTTATTGGGAAAGGTATTTACTGAAAAATAGGTTTTTATGATTTGGATAGCATCTCAATGCATAAGTTTTACATGAAAAAGGGTTTAAATGCAAGGAATATGTAAAGACGAAAGCATAGTAGAGATAGAGAGCGAAGGAAATGGCTAGGGCAAGATGGAAGTAGAAAAGAGATTTCTATAAAAAGGGGGAGAGAGAGAGATATGGGAAGTGATTGCGTTTTCTTATCTATTCCGCGAGAAGTTATATGTTCATTTTAAATTTTTATTTAGCTCGGTTAGGGATTCTAACAAGGAAATTGATTTTTTAGCTTGTGGGGGAGAAATCAATCTCTTTGTTTTGGGTTCAAAATACTGAAAACAATTTCTGGCAGAAAACGTTTTCACCCAATATTTTGGATCCAAACGGTTAAAATGGGCAATCAACCCTAGCGACCATTTCCAGCGATCCTGAGGGCCCTCAAATGAACACACTAGTGATGTAGTCCTCTGGTTTTTCTACTTGTTGATATCTCGTGTTTCCCCAGTCTTGGCTTCACTTCCTTTTGATTTCTCTCCTACTCCCTCTTTTTTGTTATAATTTCTCCGATGGTTTGGTCATTCTAGGCTTCTTGTTTTATTTAGAGTTCCATTTGCTTAGATTTTCATGTAAATCATGAGCCACTTCCGACTTTTTCTTGTTTCTCAAGTAAAATAGATGTAGCTCACATTTCCAAACTCTTTGGGGTGAAACATAAGAGCTTGGACTTTCCCTTGAGAGTTTTTGTAATAGTACTATTAATATGGGAAAAACTAGTTTCTTTTTTCCACTATCCTCTTTTTTCTTTTTATTTATTTTTTATTTTTTATTTTTTATTTTTTTTTGGGGCATCTTCCAAAGAAGTGGAATTCAAAATGAGGTGGTAAAAAATGTGTTACAGAAATATTCCCATATACGCTGGGTATAGAAGTAGTAGAGCTTCTATTTAGTGGTCTAAACTAACATGCTCGAGGTGTTCACCATAACCCGCAATTTCTAATTGTTCATTAACAAGCAACAGATTATGCTCAGAAAACTAATTTTGCACTTATTTTAAGGTGCCAAGTACGAAGTATTCAAAATCCTCAGGAGCTCACTCTCTAAACAGGAAGAACCATAAGGTCATTGTATTTGCTCTCATGTCGCAGCCATGAACATGCTCTCTCTCTCTCTCTCTCTCTCTCTCTCACATAGGACATGAAGATGGGTAAAAGTATAAAGCTGTGCATACAAAGTACTCGACATGCCAACTTCAGTAAAGTGTTTTTTGTATAGGAACAGAAAGAAAGTACTAACAACGACTTCTCAGATGACAGATATTGAACTCTGTGACATGAGAATAACCCTGCATCCGTTACCTTCCTTATGGAACTCTGTCCAGCAAAAGAAAAGGCCCCGAACGAATTCTATACACTCTTTGAAGCACCGGTTGTAGGAGAAGCATCATGGATAAATCACAGAAAAACCAACCCAACAATCCATCTTTCTAATGAATTCCATAGCCCTACTATCAACGACCATATTAAACATAAAAATGTTCAAGGGGGCAATCTATCAGAAAGATACTGAGAAAGCTTCTCTCTCATAACCAAACCATTCTTGTCCACAGCTTGACACATCTGCTGCCTGTACCCTGAGTCATGCTGATGAGAGAGAGGCATCTCATCCTGAACCTCATCTCCCCTATCAATGATTATATTGTGAAGCAAGCAGCAAACAAGTATAATCCTAGGAAGCTTATGCTTATCTGGCCTCCACATAACCTTTTGGACAATCTTCCACATATCCTTGAGCCTCGCTAATGCTCTCTGAGCTACAACTCTAGTGGCAAAATGGCGCCTATTAAATTCAACTCTGCAGCCCGAAACATCTTTCCCTTGATATGGGGTCACAAGCCAAGGGAGTAAAGGAAAACCCATGTCCCCAAGTATGTATTCTCTCACTTCAAACCCCTCAGAGAGCTCCACCTTTTTTCCATTAAGCCTCTTCCCCTTCTCACAAAGCTTGAAGAAGCGAGAGGTCTTTAGAGTGAGAAAGTCATTCATGCTTCCTGGCCAACCAGTGACAATGTCTCTGAACCTCATATCAGGGTCCACGATGGCCTGCAAAACCATGGAATATTTGTTCTCATGGTCACACCACAACTTTGAGGCCTCAACAGAGGGCAGGCTCAATACAATGTGGGTTGTATCAATTGCCCCACAACAATTTGGAAGTCCTCTGATTCTTTCAAATTTTGATTTTATGCCCTCCATTTCTTTGTTATCGGGCCATTTGAGATGGTGGATTGCTCTCTCTTCCATGGATTCCACAAATCGCCAAGTAATTATAGAAACTGTTGAGTGGTTAACACCACAGAATTCCCCCACGATATGTAGGGAGTCACCTGAACTTAATCTTCTCAAAGCAATGGCCACTTGATCTTCTGGTGAGAGAACCTTTCCATCTGTGCTAGTAAGAGAGGAGCCTTTAGCGAGGTCATCCTTCACAAGAGAACAAATGTAGTTGAAAGTCTTTCTTGAAACCTTGAAGATGGTCTCAAACTTGTCTTGTCCATTTGGTAGAGATGACGGCCCTGCAGCAAAACCAGAGTGACATTGATTATAATCTCACTCAAAGGGAGACAGATACACAGCGTACAAAAATCAAAGTCACTGACCACAAAATTTCTGTTTATTGAGAGATGCAGGTATTCAGATAGATAGAAATTGGTTAAATGACCAAACTCAGTAAAAAATGCTTCGCAAAGAGACATTGAAGGTTGTAATTGATACCAGCCTCCTTCACCTTCCTGAGACCACTGTTTGATTTTTGGTAATTGAAAGTCATTTCTTCTCACTTCACAGATAGTTCTAGTAGTTCTCGAAGGAATCTGGGCGAAAAATTAAATGCAAACAAGTTTCTCAAAAGAAACTTTTGGTAATCAAAATAAATGTTGTAACGATAACATACAACTTTAGATGAGTTTCCATAAGATTTAGATCCTAGCGCATGTTAAGACATAGGGAACTCAATAAGATATAGATCCTAGTGCTGGAAACAAGATTTAGTGTATGGAGCTCCAAACACAAATGTACGTCAAATATCATGTGGTAGATGTACCTCGGCTACCCTATTCAGGACAGGGAATCTTATGAGGACCCAATTACATATATAATCATATTGAAGAACACTATTTTTCTTCTTTGGCAAGGAAAAATAAGGGTTCAAGGTTTCTTCAGTACTTTGATAACTAAATGAAGGGTAATTTGGATAAATTGATTGGTCTATTTTAGGCTGTTGAATAATTAGCGGTCATATCAAACAAGAGTGAGACATCCCGTGTGCACCAAGAAAGGTCTTGGCTTCAAACACTTCCTTGCAGGCCAAGCTAAACCGAAAAACAGCAGAATGGTTCATGATGATCTCTTAAGTGCCCTTGTTCATAACAGGGTTTGAGAAAATGTTGATGAGGATCAAAATTGCCCGATCCTGATTGATTTTAAGAGGGGCAGTCTGGTTCCCTCTATGTGTAGGGAATCGGGCAGTTCCCAGTAGGAAACATCCAGTTTTGTCATGGAACCAGCCGACCGGCCCCACTTTATTTTTTTTCAATTTTTATTTTTACAATTATTTAATTTTTTTTATTGGCTAATTCTCGGATTAGTAATTCACCAACATTAACTGGTTTCCCAGATGGCCTGTCTAGGTCACTGATTCGGGTTTTCAATCATTTTGTTCATAACAAACTTCCAAAAGAGAGTGAAGTTAATGGGCATTTTAGTCATCACCTAACAAACAAAAGTGCACTTCAATCATCTAACTTGAATCCTGCATTTTTAAATAATTACCCGAATCTCTCATTGAAGGTTGCGATTACGATCAGAACCCCGATTCGATCATTCCGACTAGGAATCTTCAAGGAACCTGTTTCAGTGAAGTCTTTTCTGAGAATTGATGTTTAGAAGTTTTCAAAGCATCAAAATACTCAAGCTAGAGACTCAATCTCAAGCTAAAATGTGTAGTCATTTTTTTTGGCATGAAATGACCAATTCAAACCAAAGTGGAGGTCCATATCCTCTACTTAATCTTTCAAATATGCATAGTATTGATCCAATGGAGAGATTGCAACTCCAAGATGTTAAAAATAATGTAAACATGCATGTGTAGCATGTCCATCAATAAATGGCATTGAGACATATATTGTTTCTCTCTCAATTCCCTCTCGATTCCAAAGATATAAGAATCTCGATTCCATAAATGAAGGAATCTCAATTCTATATTGGTCGAACCCAACTAGGTAAAAAACTCGATTCCAAAGAGCTAGGAATCTCGATTACAAAGAGCTAGGAATCTCGATTCCATCTATGTAGGGATCTCGAGTTCATTTTGATCGAATCTCAATTCCAAAAATAGGAATCTCGTCCCTCACGATTCCTCGTGTATGGACATTGATCTCGAAAACAGGAGTCTTCCAGCCGACAAGGATCCCATGCTTCCGATTCCTTTATCGATTCGGTTTCTAAATCGCTTCGGGTAACTTTGGATTTTAACGATACCCATTTCTAAATTCTTACGAGTCCATATGTAACAATCTAATGATTTTTGTCCCCCGCATTGTATACATTTGCATATGTGGGTACATGCAAATTTTAACATATTACATAAATCCTCCAATTGAGTCAAGGAGAGTATATAGCATTCCGTCTATGTTACTAGGATCGAGGATTTGACTTAGAGGATCCAAGTTCCACTATATATAAAATGAGATCAATGCCTACTAGATCCATTGTTATACACCTTATCTTATTACCAATGCCATAGTTATATTACTCCAACTTACTACAATAATAAAACTTAATAATACTATAAATTCACTTACTATGATATTAAACTATAATTTTTTAATACCATAATTTTAGTATACCATGATGTAATATGCACCACAATTTAACATATTCTAAAGAAATCAATCCATAATATCAAGGAGAGGAGCAATAGTTAAATTAACAGTATAGCTCTTCTCATTGGAAGGATCTTACAAGCATATAGATCGAGATCCCATTTTATAGGGAGCAAGATCCGCATTTCTCTAAACCCAGCTCCCTCTTAAGATCCCTTAGAGGAACCGCGTGATCGAGTTCCTAAGGTGGGACCACGGCCTTATCCCCAAGGTTCCTGCAACTATGTATTGTACTACTCAAATGTACTTATAGGAATTCCTTGGGTTTGTCCATACCTGACTGTTTTATAAATGGTTCTCATGCATTTGGGATATAGTATCCCCCCAGATCTCACCTTTGCAAGTGCTCAAAAAGTGACACTCTTTATATCTACTCAATTTCACATTATGGTGACTAGTTCTCCATCCACGTTGCTTTGAAGTCTTCACAACAAGAGTTATCCCTGGACAAATGTTTGAATTTGTTTTTGAATAAAAAACACCAAAATAGGCAGCTTTCTTATAATTATGTGCATTAAAATTTCAATGTGTCAATAACATCACCTTTCAATAAATCCTCTTCTTAATTTTACAAGAAATAAATTTACAAGTTTAAAGGTTACAAGTGTTAACATGATGCATATATTCAATGCCTAACTAATGGTCTCAAAAAAGATAATTATTTCTCCATAAGTCCTTGAGCAAGTTAACATTGGAATAGAGACTTTCATAAGTCCTTGAAATTAAGCCAAGTGCAATACAAGTATTTGAAATTACTTAGATATCATAATGTCATGACCAACCGTACATCCAATTAGTTCACCATCACTCTTATATGAAAGATTGATGGAAGAATCCACCTAACCTTTCAGAATGCAATCCTCTAGGAAAATATGAAAAAGGTAAACCTATGCTCATCTTTTCTATCTGCAATAAATAAAATTTTCAGATCAACTATCAATCTCAAAGTTAACACATCTGGGTTTCAAACTCGGTTTTAGATTTTCTTATAGACATTGAGTCAGGGTAAATTAACATCTGCAAGCTACTATCTCATTTCCGCCACTGCATTGGCCCCAAGAAGAATCACACCTGTATTCACATAATTCCATCACTCCCCAACTTCCATAACTTATATTCAATCCAACAATTGACTCTCAATTTCACGATATCTGAACTTTATCCTTGTATATTGAAATTCTACAGATCAACCCTTGACTCAAGAAAACGATCCTTCAGCGTCATGATGCCTAGGCAATGCATTTCATTCTCTACTGCTTCTAATCCTATCCCCTAATCCTAACCACTATCTGTATTCCATGTATCCCCATAGCAAGCCTCTTACATACTTAAAATCCTTTGGCATCCAGATTCTATACTTCCCCATGGAGTCACACACCAATCCCTCCTTCTCATTCTTCATTTTTAATACAACTGTCTTTTGTAGCGTCATACTCGCAAGGGAATGGGTTTGAATCTAACATTCTAACGATAAATCACCCAAATAAGCTTGACAAGAACCTAATAAGTTGAACCAGAGCAATTTGCCAAATCAACTCTAGTAAGAATTAATTAAATCTCCAGGGATCAAAGCTTTCTAATAATTGAAGGCCACATATCCTTATTTTCTCTGCCATAATACTCTAGTCCATGTTTCAGTTGATTCTTTCATGACCAAGTCATCCTCATCACCCTCACTTCTCAAAGGTAATTTTTCCCTCTTACCTCATATCTTCCTTCTTCCTCCCTTGGAAAGTGACTGGCCCTCAATCAACATGCTTCTATCTTCTATGTGCCTTACCCCACCTTTCTTAGAAAAGTCCAATCTTCTAAACCTTCAAATAGACTATTAAACACTCCCTACAAGATTTCCATAATGCATTTCCTTCAAATTTCTAGAGAACTCGACCTTATTCTAAGTTCTTGTATCTCACATAAACTTCTCTTACTTTTATCATCATCATTATCATCATCATCCTCATCATCATCATTAACATCGTTGTTATCATCATCATCATTATTATTACTATTATTCCTACTATTATTATTACTATTGTTATTATTATTATTA